ACCCAAAGCCTTCAAGTCATTGATGATTACTTGCAATCTATGAAACATTTCCGGAATGCTCTCATCATCCTTCATCTTGAAGCTTGTCAATTTGTCCTTGAGACTGTACAACTTGGCACTCTTGACCACCGGTGTGCCCTCATATGTTTCTTCTAATCTCTTCCATACTTCACTAGCTCTTTCACAATCTCTGATTTGCTCAAACACCTTTAAATCAATGGCATTGTAGATGGTGTTGAGAGCCATTGTATTGTATTGCTTGTTTGCCTTGTCTTGGTTGGTGAGATTGGTGGGATCAAGAATTACATAGTCACTCTCGGTCACATCCCACACTTGACCATTGATTGAACCAAGATACATCTTCATCTTTCTCTTCCAATAGTCATAACATATGCCATCAAAGAATGATGGTTTGCCCCCCACATGGTTGAACACAACTTGAGCCATCTTTTAACACCAAAGGTTGTTAAGCCTTGATTAAACGGTGACCATGGCTCTGATACCACTTGAAAGTTTCTAAATGGCTAGAGGGGGGTGAATATTCTAATTAAAAATCTACAAATCACTAGAGCAAAATGATTAGTACAACAAATGGCGATAGCAAGTTTTGCTCTAGCTCTACCAAGAGAAGCAAGCCACCTACCCAATCAATTCTAGTGAATTATAATCTCTATGGCAAACAAAGGTCTAGATTGCTAATTCTACACTAGTGAGCTAGCTAGCACAAGAATTACTCCTAATTATTTCTAGCTACTCAACTAAGCGACTCTAGTTACTTCTACCACTGCATAAGAATATCAAAGTGTAAATATAAGAGATAGAGATAGATATACCGCACGTGGCAAGTGATGATCAATAGGAATATCAATCCCAAGGGAGAAATCCAATGCACAAGAGACAACCAATTTTTCTTCCGGGGTTCATGTGCTTGCCGGCACGCTAGTCCCTGTTGTGTCGACCAACACTTGGTGGTTCAGCGGCTAATAGGTGTCACACACCTAACCCAACACTTGGGTGCCGCAAGAACCTACCCACAAGTGAGGTAACTCAATGACATGAGCAATTTACTACAGTACCTTTTGGCTCTTCGACAGGAGAAGGTCAAGAACCCGCACAAGCAATCGATCGGAGCTGGATACAATCACCAACTACGCTCAATGATCCTCCAATCACCAGGCCATCTAGGTGTCCACAAACACCAAGAGTAACAAGATCACAACCAGCCCAAATCACCCAACTAGTGCCACAAGATGATGCAACTCAATGCAATGCACTAGAAGCTCACCAATCGCACTCAAATGATGAAATCAAGTGTGCAAGTGAGTGGATTGTGTTTGCTCAGCTCCCAAAGGGTGCACACAAGTGTATGAGGTGCCAAGAGAGTGGCCATGGCCGGCCACCTCCTCTACTTATAGCCACACAAGCAAATAGAGCCATTGACCCTTTGGGCTATTTCTGCGTGGGCATCGGACAGGGCGGTGTGCCACCGCCCTAGGGGTGGCGGTGCCCCTCCAACGGTCATAACTAGCCGTTGGGCACCGGACAAGGCATGGTTGTGGCACCGCCCTAGGGGTGGCTGTGACCATCCTAGCCAAGTCCCCAAAAAACACCCCTCTCTAGAAATTTAGGGCGGTGCACCGCCATGCCCATGGCGGTGACCAGGGCGGTGCCCCCCCTGGCCCAACTCACATTTTTCCCAATCTCTGAAAAATAGAGCGGTGGCATCGAACAATCCATGGTGGTGCACCTCCGTGGCAGGGTTGGTGCACACAGCCACGTCCGATGACTGCCCCACTGCTGCCACTCAAGACCAAGTCCTGGTAGAAACCGCCCTATGGGCCAGTGGCACCAGATAGGTGGTGGCAATGCCACCCAGGCACCCCCACTTGCTCTCTGAGTTGCAAACTTTGTCATGATTCGATCCACAGCAACTCGAGCAACTTCCCACAAGCGATGCTAACTCTCAGGTGTTTTTTTGAAAACATATTAGAGTCAAGTTAGCATTTCTCAAAACATTTTCGATAAATATTTTTGCTCGCTCTCCGAATGTACACTAGGCCTAAATGCAATGCATCAAGTCCAACACCTAGTGGCACTAGATGACCGAATTGTCTAGTAGAGATCCCCTCTTAATAGTATGATCATCTATCCTAAATATGATCACACTCTCTATAGTGTCTTGATCACCAAAACAAAATCCCTATTTATACCTTTGCCTTGATCTCCATAGGGTTTTGTTTTTCTCTTTCTTTCAAGTTGGAGCACTTGATCATCATCATATGTGGCCATCTCATCATTTCATGTGATCATCACCATCACTTGAGTGCCATCATGCTCCATAAATTAAGTGTGCCAACCTATCTCACACATCACATAGATTACAAGGTTAGTACACAAAGGTTTCATCAATTATCCAAAATCAAACTAGGGCTTTTAGCAGGAAGCATGACTCAGCCTAGAGCATGAGTGAGCAATCCTGGGCGATGGCCTCGTGGCCCATGGGGCAGACCGATGAGCCAGCGAGGCCTCCGACAAGGTCAAGCATGGTGTAGCTCCGATGGTGCCGGTGGTCGTCGGGGTATGGACGACACAGACAAGATCTGTGTTTGGTGCTCCCGTGCGTGCATACGATGATCGAGCTTGGCAACTCTGATCCGATCTAGCTCTCTGGCTTTTTCTGCTTTGGCGGCCTCGTTGATGGTGAAAATGTCATACTTATCTATACTCAAAATCACCAACAACATCCTTAGAATAGAAGGAAGATAAGCATTGAATGAGCATATTTTATCCAATAACTAGTTCCACATGTCCATGGAGTATTTCTATGTAGGTGTAAGACAAATGAAAGAAATGAAGCAAAGTGGGGCCACCCCTCTGGGTCGGGAGACCCTAGATGGGGTTAGCCGGCCCCACATTAGGCCCACTAATCCTTCCAGCCCAGCCATGATCCATGTGACACACTCTCGAAGCAATATCAACCATCAGATCAACCTTGTGTTTTCTCTGGACAGCTCACATGCGAAGCACACAGATTGGATGGCCCACATGTCACCAAATTAACATCAACACATGGTCGCACTGGTGCATACCCACACATGATCAAGAAGAGAGACCCCACACCAAAGGAGGGAGGCCCCACATGTCATAGGGGATCAGCCGACCCCCCTATGGTCAGCCGACCACCCTTTTGTGCTCCACCGCCTCTTGCATGCTCCCATGCAAGGAAACACAACATCCTCACATCTCACCCCTTGATGCAATGGTAGTTTGGATCAATGGCTATGAAGGCATGTCACATGGATTGGTGACATGGCACAAGGAGTGGCCCTTATTCCTCCTCTCAACTATCAATACCCTCTATCCCCCTCACTCTCAAGACACAACACAAGCAAGAAGCTTCTCCACTCTCTCAAGATGTAGTGCTAATGTAGTTGGGAGTTAGAGTGAGTAGTGAATTTAGGCTCCGAGTTCTGATCTAGTCTTCTAGGAGGTCTAGTATGCTCTTGTATCTCCTTTCTCTTTTTATAAGACTTTACTCTTATATTTATATTCTTGCTCTACTTTACTTATCTTATGCTTATGTAACCTTATACTTGTTATATCGTTGTTATGGTTTAGCTTAGCATATAGTTGTTACATATAAGATTGTTATCGAAGCCCACACTTGTATATGATCATTGCCTATCATAGGGTGCTCTAATTGATCTATGCGTGCACAATTAGAGCAGTGAGAGAAGGTGTAAGCATGGTGTTTATACTCTATCTTGCCTTTGGTTGCCGCTTATCGCACGAATAATTGTGGTAGCTAGCGGTGGTGACAGCCTTGTTTAGTCTGAGTATCCCACCACATGTTTTTAGGCAAGTTCTTAAAAGGTAAGGTTTCAGTAACAAGGTTGAGGCTTCGGGTAGGAGTTGAGTCTCCTATTGTTGTGTCTTCCACCTAGTATACTTGTTGTGTCGATTCAATCTCTGTGTTGCAATTACATGACTAAGGTATAACCATAGAAGTAGAGTTTGAATCATAGGAAACACTATGCTCACTCGTTGTCCTCCCTACTAGCTAGGCTGCTCATCTTCATGTTTAGACTTCTCCTGTGTATGTCACTACCCTTATCATATATATCATTTACTCCCACTCTATCCTAGTTGGTATATTAGTTGGTAGATACATGATGGTTATTAGCTATCACATTCTTTAAACGTTGCTTCCCTAAGGATAAATATGATACCTAGAATACTCTTGGGTGAAATGCTACAACGGTAATTCTGTGCACTTGCGGAATATTCTACACGAGCATAAGAAATACCAATAGGCCTCTCCATCCTCTGTGCTATAATATCATCGATATTTAATGAAGTTGACTCGAGTTGCTCCGTCCTTCGTGTTTCATTTCGTATCCATTTTTCAGATGGTTATAAATCAAGCTTAGAGACACTAATTTGTTGCGTGGTGCATGTGCTTGCAATAAGAGGGAGTTGGCCTGCTGCTTAGGGCCAGCGCTTGGTCTGGTGAGCCCACCTAGGTGGCCACCCCTTCCCCCTCCACTAGCCAGCCGTAGGCCCCCTGCGAGAACCACCATGGCCATATCTCAGAGAAGAAATGACCCTCTATTCAAACAAACCCCTTGAGGAAGATGAACAGTACACAGGAGGAGGGCCCCACTAGTAGTGACCAGTGGAGAGATGAGGTGCTGGACTGCTGCTAGCGCTGTTGAGCCAGGCAGTCGAGGTGTGAAAGTCATGCTGACACGCTGAATTGGTGTGTCACATCAAGCAAAAATATCAAAATTATAGGTAAATTTCAATTTTCATGGTAAATTTAGTTATCATGATAAAATTGGCAAACCGAGAGCGAGTGGCGGATAATTAGAAATCCCGAATTCCTCGAGATCCCCGCACTACTCGCGAGCTGCTCCCCTACGTAGGCCAGCGAGAACCGGCCCACCCGCCACCCTCCACCTGCTCCATCGGCGCACCGTCCCGTAGGGCCATCGCCAGCCATGATCCAGCTCCTGTTCGCGCTGTTGGCCGCAGAGACGGCGCTGGCGCTGGCGCTGCTCTTCTGCATGCCCATGCATCGCCTGGCTCTGCTCGCCATCGACCGCACCAAGAGGCGGCGCGGGCCCATCATGGCCAAGACCGTTGCGGGCACCATGCTCCTCGTACTTGTCGTCTCTACCGGCTACAGCATCGCTAAGATCCGCCGCCGCGCGGGGGAGCTCGGACTGCTCACACCCACCGACCAGGTGCTCGCCAGTCGCTATATCCTTGAGGCGTCGCTCATGGGTATTTATGCTCCTTCATTATCTGCCTCCTAATTAGTTTATTAGGCGTTGCTCATGGGTATTTATGCTCCTTCATTATCTGCCCTCCTTATTTGTTTAGTTCCTCGATCCCAATTTGAGATCGTTGTATGCTCGTCCCTTGGGCTAGGCTAGGGGGATAGCTACGTGTTCATCTATTTTGATAGAATGGGCTTGACAAATCCTTTGTGGATGATTGGATTGCAAGTGGTTTTGGTGCTGGATGCTTACAATTTCTGCCAATTTTACTAGATCTGTTGGTTCCAGTGAGGAATTTATTGTCACAAAGATATAACATCACCTATGTAATGCCCTCATATTACTGTATATTTGTGTTTTTCATCACTGGATAACATCATAGAGAATTGTGGGCTCCTTCCTTCCAGGAGAAAAATTCTCTATGAAAGCAATAACTAAACTATATTGCAGTAACATTATTTATTTAGATACTTCGGTGGGATGATGTTATTATCTCAAGCTTTACTTGTTCTATGGAAGCTGTGGTCTTCATATTCTCAATTTATAAAACCAAGTTAGAATCTGTTAAAGTTTTACTGAACATTTTCTAAAGACACATTCAATAGCAGCCACATGCCAACATCACAAAGAATGACAAGAAATGTGTCAATTGACCCTGAACACATTTTTAACATGGAATTGTCGAGATTTATTATGATCACATAGTCATAGATCAAGCCAGAAACATCTTGTAAATGGATAACATGTCCTAGTACATGAACTAGACAGTGATTGTAGGGAGGAGTAGTGCTAGGTTACCGACCATCGTAGGCCTTCGATCCAGAGGCGTCGGCCATGGTTGTTGTGTCCGTGTCTATGCGAGGGCAGTGACGGTCAGTGAGGACGGTGACGGTGATGGGCAGTGGCGACCGGTGGTGAAGACCGGTGGCGGCGTAGTGTAGTGGTGGCGGTGCTTCCCGTCACTGGCTGCGCCCCTCACTAGATCGGGTTAGGGTTTATCGGTGGGGAGCTCGGCTCAGGCAAACCTCGTACTCAGAGCCGTCGGCCCCCACCTCTATATATAGCGCAGTGTGACAGGGGCCCTCCAGCCATAGTGGGCTGGGCGCCCCCGATCAGGGCACGGATCAAAGGCCCAACTGGGTCATTGGGCCCAGTTTGGGATTAGAGATCAATCTAACAATCTCCCCCTTGATCTCCTACCATCTTTTAATTTCATATCATTTACTTTTGTTCATTCCATTACAGATTAGCGCATAGAGCATGTTTCATCGTCATGGTCAATTGCCGATAGATTTAACAGCTACAACACACCACTCTGTTCTAAAATAGATACTTAACTTTGGGCCTTCTTTTGTCCAGAAATTATAGGCTTTCCCTTAAACCCATGCCAGCTACATGTTCTCTGAACACGTTGGGTGGTAAGCCTTTTGTAAGCGGATCCGCGAGCATCTTTTCGGTACTTATATGCTCAAGACTTATGACATGATCTCGAACTTTATCTTTCACAACATAATACTTTATGTCAATATGTTTGGCAGCACCACTTGACTTATTGTTGTGAGCAAATTGTAGTGCTGGATTATTATCGCAGTATAACTTAAGTGGTCTATAGATGTCGTCAACCACCTTCAAACCGGGTATGAATTTCTTTAGCCAGTTCACCTGCCCTGTTGCCTCATAACACGCTACAAACTCGGCATACACTGTGGACAATGTAGTGACGGTTTGCTTTGAGCTTTTCCATGAAATAGCTCCCCCTACGAGAGTGAATACATATCAAGACGTGGATTTTCTATCATCTCCCGCATAATTAGAATCTGAATATCCCACTATATGGAGTGAATCTGATCTTCTATACGTCATCATGAGGCTTTTCGTTCCTTGCAAATAACGCAAGACTTTCTTTACTAATTTTCAGTGTTCTGTTCCAGGATTGCTCTGGAATCTACCAAGTAACCCGGTAACAAATGCCAAGTTAGGGCGCATACATACTTGAGCATATTGCAAGCTTCCGACAGCTGAAGCATATGGAACCGTTTTCATTTGATCAATCTCATACTGATTCCTAGGGCATTGAAAATCCCCATATCTGTCGCCCTTGACTATAGGAGTAGGTGAGAGACTACATTTGTGCATATTGAATTTCTTTAAGATCTTTTCTATGTATGCCTTTTGTGATAGTCCTAATACCCCTTTACTTCTATCTCGGTGAATCTCAATCCCTAGAACGAACGAAGCTTCACCAAGATCTTTCATATCAAATTTTGAGGACAAAAACTTCTTTGTCTCTAGTAGTAGACTGACATCACTACTAGCAAGTAAGATATCATCCACATACAGGACAAGGAAGATAAACTTCTTGCATAGACACAATTGTGCTCTACATTCTCTTTAAATCCAAAATTCCTTATTGTCTGATCAAACTTCAAGTACCACTGTCTTGAAGCTTGTTTTAATCCATAAATGGATTTCTTTAGGCGGCATCCTATTCATTCTTTTCCTTCCATGACAAAACCTTTCGGTTGTGCCATGTAAATATTTTCCTCCAAGTCCCCATTGAGAAATGCCTTCTTTACATCCATCTGATGTAATTCTAAATCGTAATATATCACTAATGCCATTATGATTATGAAGGAATCCTTATATGAGACTGGAGAAAAGGTCTCATTGTAATTAATCCCTTCTCTTTGTGTAAAGCCTTTTGCCTCAAGTCGCACTTTATATCTCTCTATGTTCCCTTGAGAGTCAAGTTTTGTTTTGTAGACCCATTTATAGCCTACTATTTTGGCTCCTTTAGAAATTATTTCCAAGTCCCAAACTTTATTGCCATTCATAGATTTCTTTTCATCTTCCATGGCCTCAAGCCACTTTGATGAATGATCACTTCTCATGGCTTCTTCAAATGAGGTGGGATTATCCTCCATTTGAAATTCCTCAGTGTTGTATACTTCATAGTCAGCAGGAATAGCTGATTTTCTAACTCTTTGAGACCTTCTAGGGGCCTCCACATTTGGTACATCTTCTGTTTGAGGCTGTTGTTGCTCCCCCTCATGTATGGCAATAGGTTCTACAGGATCCTGAAGATTAGGTTCCTCATCGTCATTCATTGTTGCCACAGGTGGAATAACAACAGGTGCTGGCACCACAGTATCTTGCACTGTTGGTGCAGTGACAGCAGGTAGTGAGAAAAATGGCTCATGAATCATCGGAGTGTGCGCATACACCCGCTTCTCTTCAAGGTCAATTTCTAGAGCTACCATGCTCCCCCTCATCATTTCATCCTCTAGGAAGACAGCGTGTCTTGTTTCTACATACTTTGTATATCTGTCTGGACAGTAGAAACGAAAATCTTTTAACTTTTCTGGGTAGCCAATGAAATGGCAACTTACTGTTTTGGGATCTAGCTTTCCAATGTTTGGGTTAAATACTTTAGCCTCAGCAGGACTCCCCCACACACATAAGTGATTTAGTGAGGGTACTCTTCCTATCCACAACTCATACAGTGTTTTGGGCACCGACTTACTTGGTACTCTATTGAGAATATGAATGGCGGTTTTTAATGCCTCCATCCACAGACTCAACGGTAAGGTGGAGTAACTTATCATACTGCGCACCATATCCATCAGGGTATGATTGCATCTTTCAGCTACTCCATTCTGCTGAGGTTCGCCTAGTGTAGAATATTGGGCTACTATACCATTCTCCTGTAAGAACCTTGCAAAAGGTCCAGGAACTTGGCCATATGGGGTATGCCAACCATAGTACTCCCCCCATGGTCGGACCTGACTATCTTAATCTTTAAATTATGCTGGTTTTCAACTTCTGCCTTAAATATCTTAAATTTATCCAATGCTTCTGTTCTTTTTTGATTGGATAAATGTGGCCATAATGGGAGTAATCATCTGTCAATGTTATGAACGAATCATAACCATCCACACTCTTTACAGGAAACGGACCACAGATGTCTGTGTGAATAATCTATAAAATTCTTGCGCTTCATTTGGCATCTTTCTTAATTTTCTTTACATACTTTCCTTTTATGCATTCTCTGCATTGTTCTAAATCCGAGAGCTCTAATGGAGGAAGAATGTCATTCTTAACTAGTCTTTCTATTCTCCCCCTCGAAATATGGCCTAAACGACAATGCCATAATTTCAACGACGCATCGTGAGCTCTCTTTCGTTTTCTGTTTACATCCACAGATGAGGATACATTCTCATTGTCGCACGCAACATTCCCATCATCGCATACAACATTCACATCATCACGTAGTGATAACAAATAAAGCTTATTTTGTAAGATAGCAAGACCAACACATGCATTATTAAATGTTATCTTACATTTGCCATTTCCAAAATGGCAATCGAATCCATCATTGTCCAAGCATGAAACACTAATCAAGTTTCTCTGTAAAGAGGGAACATAAAGTAAATCTCTAAGTAAAAGTGTAAAGCCATCAGCAAGCTCTAGAGAAAGATCGCTAACGGCTTCAACATCTGCTCGGACTCCATTTGCAACTTTAACGTGTCTTTCTCTTTTTTGCGTAATCCTCGTCGAACGGAATCCCTATAAAGAATTAGCAACATGAACAGTTGCACCTGAGTCAATCCACAAAGTAGATTTCGAATACTGTACATACAGGGATTCATTTATGAACATAATAATGTTCTCACCTTTCTTTGCCATGATCATCTTTAAGTAATCGGGACAATCTTTCTTATAATGTCCCGACTTCTTGCAATAGAGACACTGGTCTTTCTCTACTGTGAACTTGTTCTGCTAAGGCTGATGCAGCATGGGACCCTTTCCCTTTGACTTTGAGGAGGAGTTAGCATTATTATTCTTTTTCTTGTTGTCTTTCACATAATTGATAGTGCCACCATTGGCAGCTTTCATTCTCTCCTCCTCTTGCACACACATAGCCATGAGCCTCTCTAAGTCCCACTTCTAGGGTTGTATGTTGTAGTTGATAACAAAAGTGTCAAATTCCTTTGGCAAGGAAGCAAAAATCAGATGGATAAGGAACTCTTCCTTGA